TTTTATAACTATCTTTTCACTCTTGTCAACTATTTTGTGTTAATAAATTTATCTTATAAATAAATATTTGCATAGTAATCTTCATCTTCATTGCAGTTCATCTGCACACGTAAACTTGTTTAATAAACCTTATACTTTTGTCTAAATATTATCCAAATTTTTTATAACTATCTTTATTATTATATTCTTTTACCTAACCTCTCTTTTGAAAAAATTTCGTGTTAATAGATTTATCCCATAAATAAATATTCGCATAGTAATTTTTATCTTCATTGCAGTTCATTTGCCCACGTAAACTTGTTTAATAAACCTTATACTTTTGTCTAAATATTATCTAAATTTTTGATAATTATTTTTATTATTATATTCTTTTACCTAACCTCTCTTTTAAAAAAATTTCGTGTTAATAGATTTATTCCATAAATAAATATTTGCATAGTAATCTTTATCTTCATTGCAGTTCATCTGCACACGTAAACTTGTTTAATAAACCTTATACTTTTGTCTAAATATTATCTAAATTTTTGATAACTATCTTTATTTTTGTATTTATTACCTAACCTCACTTTTGTCAAATTTTGTATTAATAAATTTATCACAAAAATAAATAAATAAATAAATAACGGGCATGTATAAATACAATAAAAACTAATCAAGAACGGAAATTCCTAACGATGTTCAACCTTAACGATTAAGAAAAGTATGGCGATGAAAAAAGAAAAATAACAATAAGAAATAAAAATAAATAGACAGGATGATACGTCAAGGAAGTTGCATTCGCAGGTGCAGAAAGATGCATGCCTGAGCTTGTTTGCCGTTTGCAATAGGTTCGATTAGCAAGAGTTCGAGACTAGGTAAGAGTAATTATCCCTCATCGGTGCTCAAACAGTTTCACAGAGCTTACTGTATCGGTAATTTGAAGGAATTAAAAGGCAACCAATGGAAACCAAAGGAAACCGAGAGGATAACGAGGCACTTGGTGGATGCTAGAAATGTATTTTACTTTCATAAAGGTTTCTGCATTCCTATCTGTCTGAGGATCGGTACCTCTGTTCGATAACACGCCGATAATTCAGGACAAACAACACGAACAATACGTATTAGTCGTGCAAACAGAAGTAAATTTTGCTAACACAGCATGCTTACTATTACTACTACTACTATTACTATTATATACAAGCATATGTATATATATAGGTACACAGAAGTGTACAAGATCAAGATCCTAATCTTTCTTAGCCTGAAACTATCTCTTGATATCGATTCTTAATGGTTTTTACCATTCGGCATAGATCAAACGATCGAAAATGTTCAATCCGTGAAATTATTGCTTCCGAATAAACCTATAAATATTTTATTGTAAATAAAATCAAATAAAAAATTAATCATTTATTAATTAACGTTTAAAATGCAATCTCTGAGGTATAATAATGGTATTATGGTTTTTACGAATCCGTATGTAATCCAATATCTTGAACAATTCTTCTTCTTCTTCTACTTCTTCTTTTTTTTTATGAAATCAAACAAGTATGATGAGAATACGCATGGAATTAAATTCACGCGTAAGTTAATAAAATGAAAATGAAGGGAAGATGAATTTAAAAGAAAAAGAAAAATTGCGGTATTCGAAGTAAGAGGATACCGTTCGAGATACCGGAAGACTTGACACTACCATGATAAAAAAGAAACACTATATATATAGATATATGTTCGAAGTGACTCGACAGAGTTACTATACTGTACCATATACCAAGAAACGATACATAAACCAAGTACCTCGGCATCGTTTCTGCGGCCAAGTTGAAACGAGACGTAAGATGTTCAAAGAAAATAACAGAACCGAGATGAAAAAGTAAGAAATTAAAAGAAGAAAAATAATAAGAAAAAGAAAAAGAAGAAGAAGAGAAAAAGATCCGCAAAAGAGAAACGAAATCTGCCTATGGTTTTCTTCTTTTCCCTTTGCTTACTCCACCCCAACCCTCTTCTAACCACCAACCGCATCAACCAAGTTGATCCTTGCGGTACAATGAAAGAAATAACAAAAGGGGTTTCTACTTCCTTTTAGGCTTTAAAAAAGTTTCATTATTCAGCTAGCAATATTTGCCAACATCCTTCTATATTAAATAATAATAATTATTATTATTATAATTATAATTATAATTATAATGATTTGATGATATATTTAAAATATTAATATGAACGCGTAGTCGAAAGATAATTATCATCATTTTGTATTCATATGAAATTATGAACACTTTAATGGCCGCTCACACAACATGTGCGTGATAGTTGGAACAACCGTTATTTATTTATAACTTTTTATATATTTAAAATGATATAAAATTTAAATTGTTATTAAATTGTTGCTTTTTGTTTTATGTATATTCATTTTTTCGTTAATGACAATAAAGTTGTTTGACATTAATTTTGTAAAAATATTATACCACTGGCCTCTAGCGACGTTCGACTGTATACATGTGCGGCCATTGAAGTGTTAATTTTAACCCGTTATACAGATCCATGTATATTGGTGTTTTTTTTATAGGATAAAGTATAAAAAAATCAAAAAAAAAAAATACGCACGTTTCGATTTCAATTTAGTAACGAGAAAAGTGGAATTTGATGTTATGATTCATTCATCTTCTTTATCACTGTAATATTTATCGGTTAAAAAAAAAAACAAACAAAAAAGAAAAAAGAAAGGAAAAGAGACAGAAAACTCACGGAACGGTAGTTGGTCAGACGTAATATTACGTTTAGCAAGAAAATTGATGTTTCCAAGTCGGACTGATACCTTTCTCCTTTACAAAAACATGCTAGACAGTATCATATTTATTATTATTATTATTAATATTATTATTATTTGGTTTTACTTTCAATGTAACTAAAACTAACGCTATCTCTAATAATAAATCTTAAAATAAAAGATAAACGAGATTTATACAAAAGTCTTATTTTCACTTTTTTCTTTAACAACATTTATCTAAAAAAAAATAAAAAAATAAATAAAATGAAGAAACAAACAAACAAACAAACAAAAAATAGAAATCAGAAATAGATACAACCCATTATTATAATAAAAAACAATTTGTTTCTTTGATCGACGTAACAAAAGATTTTATCTAAGAAAAAAAAAAGAAAACAAGTTTAAATAATAATCGATAAATTGACTTTGGTTTTTTTCCCAATAATTATTTAAAAAATACGAAAAAAAATAAAATGAAGAAACAAACAAACAAACAAAAAATAGAAATCAGAGATAGATACAACCCATTATTATTATAAAAAACAATTTGTTTCTTTGATCGACGTAACAAAAGATTTAATCTAAGAAAACAAAAAATAATAAAAACAAAACAAGTTTAAATAATAATCGATAAATTTACTTGGAGTAGAAGTTCGTAACGCCTCCTCGAATGAGAGAGGATCCTCGAAAATCCCGTTAAACGTTCGGTCCAGGCATTTGATTTGAAATTCCTAGTGATTATGTTCCCATACGTTTCTTCTTTTATCAGTGTTGGTAGATATACGTGTAAATAGTAAATACAATATATTTCTATATAAAAGATATTGTGTACCTAGTTAGAAACATGTATATATATGTATATAAATGTATATATGTATGTATGTACCGCAATCTGCATGGTGCATAATGAAGGAACAGGTACGAAAGACTACGACGAGGCGTTTAAATATGGCCGTTACATCATTTATCTCACGTAAATCGTAGACTTGCATCATAATAAATAAATAATACACACACACACCATGCGTTTTGCTAAAATACATTCCATCTCTTGTAACACGAACTACGTTTAGTGTTTAGTGTCTATAAATATTATTGTATTCTTTTAAACCCCATTGGTTAATGAATCTTTCTACTTTTACGGTGAAAAAAAACAAAACCCCTTCCTTAATTCCTTCCCCCCCCCCAAGAAAAAAACCAAAAAGAAAAGAAAATTCAAAGGTCCCATTTTACGAAATTGAAAAATGTTTCTATCCCCTCTCCTCTACTCCCCACCTAACTGCACGCCCCCACCACTCGATTTAACTGAACAAAATGGCGTGCGTATAAATCATGAATCGGTTTGTTGGTTAGTTTGTTTGTTTTTTTTTTTTGTTCATTTTTGTTCTATCATCGTGTTATATCTATCCTTACGATGCACTCACGTGCATACCTGCTGAGAGATAAGCTGCATTTCCTGTACTCTCCACTTCGGATTAGCGCATCAATGTAATCCAATTTGACGTTAGATGTTTCTTCTTTTTACCTGTTTATGAGTTGGGGGGGAATCGATAAAGAAGATAGAACGATGAGAGAATTTTTGTTCTTTTTTCAACACTTGTAAGAGCAGCAGCAGCAGCAGCAGCAACAGGCCAGAGAGCAAGAAAGTGAATGAGCGCATATACACGGCTACCGCGATTACGCTACCTATCCACACCAACGATTATTTATAAGCTATTTTCACGTTGATGAAGAAAATCAAGTAATCTTTACGTACGTGTGTGGTTAAGTTCGTAAATGAGATATTAAATGGTCTCCCTTTTTTTTTTTAATTTGTTCTATGCAATCTCGTGAACTTACCTGAAACAAAAAGAAAAACAAACAATCAATAATATTTGTCAAACGTTATTTCATTCTATTAAATATTATTAGAATATAATTATTAGGTCTAGCGGAAAATTCTGTCCATTTTGAAAATAAAATAAAATAATAAATTTTTCCTAATTTGAACAATTAATTAATTTAATTACTTTTGAACTCTTGCATTGCAACATGGTGGCAATTTGTATATTCCATTTTAAGAAATGGGGCCTTATCCCTAGTGACGAAAAATTGAACTAATGTTTGTTTAAATGGACAGAATTTTCTGGTAGACCTAATACTATAATATAATTCACAAAATTATTATGATATTAATGTTGCCATAATAATAAATAATTATTTAATATATTCGACAAAATATTTATCATAAAAAATAATTTTGAAAAAGCCCGCTCGTGCTAGCAGCGCACCAATCGTAACAACCGTTCGAACGTCTGCCTATAGCAACGTTTCTTACAATCATCACGTGTTCACAGTCAATCACGTGTTCACAGTCTCATTACGTTTCTACAAGTTTCTACAATCTTTTACGATAAGCCAAACAAAATCACGTGTATATTAAACTTTGGTGATAACTAAGAAGAATAAAATAACAATTGTGACCATTTAAAAGCAAGGTATTCATTTAAACAAACTTATCATATTCATTTAACGTCGTTCGCATCAATCAGTCATTGTATACACCATTCCATTAGGGTCGTCTGCGCGTGTCTGACTCTAATATCGATGCACTTGCTAACTTTAACCTAAGGTCGAGCACGCGCATCAGAATATTTACGAACACATACGAAGTTCAACCATCGTAAGAAAATACGCGGGCTTTTTAAATAGAATCAACTAGTACGAGGGAAGAATTTTGTTGGTTTTGTTTCACATTTTAGTTCACAATATAAATTTTTATAATAACAAATATTTACATTGCAATTGTATAATAGTCAAATATTTGTGTGTTATAATTTGATCAACATTGGATTCCTGTAATCTCTTAGATTTTAAATTATTAGATTATAAAGAGAACAATTATTTTGTTTTGTTTTAAAATTAATTCACAAAATAAATTTGTATAATAGCAAATATTTGTATTGCAATTGTGAAATAGCAAATATTTGCATTGCAATTGTATAATAGCAAATATTTGCATTGCAATTGTATAATAGCAAATATTTGCATTGCAATTGTATAATAGCAAATATTTGTGTGTTATAATTTGATCAACATTGGATTTCTGTAATCTCTTAGATTTTAAATTATTAGATTATAAAGAGAGCAATTATATTGTTTTGTTTTAAATTAATTCACAAAATAAATTTGTATAATAGCAAATAGTTACATTGCAGTTGTGAAATAACAAATATTTGCATTGCAATTGTATAATAGCAAATAATTGCATTATAATTGTATAATAGCAAATATTTGCATTGCAATTTTATAATAGCAAATATTTACATTACAATTGTATAATAGCAAATATTTGCATTGCAATTGTATAATAGCAAATATTTGAATTGCAATTGTATAATAGCAAATATTTGAATTGCAATTGTATAATAGCAAATATTCGTGTGTTATAATTTGATCAACATTGGATTTCTGTAATCTCTTAGATTTTAAATTATTAGATTATAAAGAGAACAATTATATTGTTTTGTTTTAAATTAATTCACAAAATAAATTTGTATAATAGCAAATAGTTACATTGCAATTGTGAAATAGCAAATATTTGTATTGCAATTGTGAAATAGCAAATATTTGCATTGCAATTGTATAATAGCAAATATTTGCATTACAATTGTGTAATAGCAAATATTTGAATTGCAATTGTGAAATAGCAAATATTTGCATTGCAATTCTATAATAGCAAAATATTAGTGCGTTATAATTTGATCAACATTGATTCCTATGAACACACACTTAGATTATAAATTATTGAATTATAATTTTGTATATTAATTTATAATACAAAAAAATTATATTATTTATTATAATCGAGTTTGATGATAAGACCAGATCAGAGACCATGGCTGTGTCAACAACTGTTTTTTTATCCTTCGATTAAATTCAACTTTCGATAATCATAAAAGAGAGTTCTCGTTAACCTTGACATTTCTACGGAACGGTGACCATTCTACCTCTCTCTTTTGTCACGTTTATTTTCGAAAGGCTGACTATATATATATATACGAATGGTAAGAGGAAAAAAGGAATGTGAAAAAGAAAAACTAGTTTGAAAAAATTCTTCGTGAATTTTATTGTTAAATAAAAAAAAAAAAAAAAAAAATAGATAAATAGAAAAATATTAGAAGTTAATTGTAAAATCTTTAACGTCTTTTAATTGTAATAAATGTAACCCTTGAAGTTACTGAACCAGATTGCAGGTGCATGTATCTCTTATCTCGGTCATGGTGAAAAATAAGTGAAGAGAAGCTTGGAAATACCATNTTAAATAAAAAAAAAAAAAAAAACAAAAAGATAAACACAAACACATACGAAGTTAAATCTAAGAGAAGTAACGCCTTTAATGCATAGTAAACGTAACCCTTGAAGTTACTGAACCAGATTGCAGGTGCATGTATCTCTTATCTCGGTCATGGTGAAAAATAAGTGAAGAGAAGCTTGGAAATACCATTACTATACTATACTAAACCCCACAACCACCACCACCACCACTTCCCCTATGGAAATACGAGCTTGCTGTTTTCGAAATTTTCAGTCGTTAAAAGATAAAACCTAAACGAGACACGAGAAGGGAAGAAACCTAAACAGAAAGAAGAAATACACTCTGGAAGGATGAATATTTCTTTGAAATAACTTGATTCCTTAAAAGGTTCTAAAAAAAGGATGATAACCAAAATACCGAGAAACGTCTTAAATACGTTTCTTCTTTCAAGGATTGAAAAAAATGGTTTTACGAAAAGGGGAGCATTTTTTTTAAGGGACAAACCTCTTGCTTCTGAGGTAAAAGAATTTGCATTTTTTATCCTATTTTTTTTTTTTATATTCAATTATTAATAAATATAACTTATTGTAATTAAATTAAAATTTAATTACGATAAATATAATTTATAATAATCATTTTTAATAAAATTAAATAAAATTTAAATATAATAAATTTTATTTAATAAAATTAAATATAATTAAATATAAATTGTAAATATAATTATTATATATAATTATTATAAATATTATTACTAAATATAATTACTAAATATAATTATTATAAATATAAAAATATAATAATATAAATTTTAATCATATATAATATACAATAATAATAATAATAATTTTAAATTTTCTCTGGGTGCAAGGCCCTGGCATGAGGCACACGAAGGCTCTGTTTTCAGGGCCTTCGGAGGAGCTAGGTACCGAGCTGATAAATATAATTACTAAATATAATTATTATAAATATAAAAATATAATAATATAAATTTTAATTACATATAATATACAATAATAATAATAAATATAATATATAATATTATATTATATAATAATAAATATAATATTAATAAATTAAATTTTAATAAAAAAATATATAATAAATTAATATTAAATATAATAAGTATAATTATTTTTAATATTTAATATTAATAAATATAATTTTTGAAATATTGATCAATTTATTCAAATATTTTTACGAATCATAATACAATTATTTAGATATTTATTTAATATATATATATATATTTTTTTTGATATTAAATATTTTATTAAAACGAAACGTGGAAGCATAGATTACCGAAAAGGGTAGGAAGATATTTAGTTTACGTATACCCAACCCCCTTATGAAATTTCATAGCTAAAATAATTTTCAGAAGGATACTCTATCTCTTTTCTCCCATAATGATCCTTTTATTTCTCCTATGTTTCGTTATGCTCGATCGAACACCACACGTGCCAACAACACATGGTAAAATAATATTGCCAAGATGGGCGAATCAAAAAGAAAAAAAAAAAATAATTTCATTTAACGAAACAAAAATGAGTGTATTATTATTTAAACCCATTAAACTAATTTATCTTTCTTTTTTTCTTCCATGATAATGATGAGAAAACTAAATTAATTATTTTAATGATATTTAATTCTTAGGTATTAACAAATTATTTATTACAAACTAATGAACCACCATGGACTTCGTATTTTGTCAAATACGCTGATGTTGTGAACGATCAAAGAGGAATGTCACACTTCAATTGGTTTCTGGGTAATAGTAATTATCATGTATTGAGAACTGGTTGTTTTCCATATATCAAATATCATTGTACAAAACGACCAATGGAGGACCTAAGTATTGACGATAAATTTTTCAAGGTGATCAAGATACTTAACCTTGGTAAGTTACAATTTTTATATCAAATATTAATTAATTAAATATGTCTACACCCTATATCCTTCTTGATATATATATATAAATATAAAAAGAAATATATATAAATAAATAAAAAAAATATATATATAT